TCTTGTTCATGTTCCCACTCTACTCTGTCTTGTTCAGCTATTTCTTCTGCTTTTTTCTGATCATACTCTTTCGCTGCTTCCTCTTCATAGTTCTCCACATTAAGAATAGCCTGCCTAATTTCTCTTACTTTATTTGCCTGAGACACATTTGTATCAAACTCCACTGCTAACTGTAATAGCAGAGCTTTAGTAAATTTCCTCATAAATTCACCCATTATGGAAAACTGAAGCAAAATAACCTACCCCAAAATTCAAAAACACCAAAAGAACAACAGGTCAATTTCTCCAAAATTGAGTAATTCCCTAATAATTCTGAACACTAATTGCCTTAAAACAATTATCTCTAAAATCAAAAATGCTAATTAAGATGCAACATTTTCCTGCACTATCTCAACTATACAAATATTGCCCTTTAACACTGAACTGATTTAAGAACTAAATTTTTTTAAGGCATAATGTTACAATACTTAAATCAGTTTAAACAGTTACTAGAACAATAGAACCACACTTAAATCTCAATTAGCAAAAGTAACCACAAGAATAATTTTTAATAAAAACAAGAAAACATTTGATTCCCAATAACAGAGCTATATCCAAAATCAATGTAGTCTTGAATAACTGGTGTAACTTCTCCAAAATCACAAAAATGGTACTCACCAATTTGAAGACACCTTCAATGACTCTCCTGGCACTAACTTGGATACACCAACTCTTCCGAGAAATTTTACTACTTTGTGGCACTAGATCACTTTCTGATCCGGCATTCCCTTCTGACACACTCTCACTTTCTGAAGAGATTTCACTATGCAAACTGTTCTTGCACGCAAAATTAGATGGTTCTTGTGCAGAGAAGAAAGTCTCTTGACTGCTCACATAAAGTCCTTTATCACACTGCCTTTTCTGTAACTTCCATTCGACGATTCGAAACACTTGCAAAACGAGATGTACGGAAAGCAACGCACGATGTTAACTGAAGTCCACAGGTGAAAAGTCTGTTCCTAAATTTACTCTCAGGAACAATCCCAAAATGCTGCCACCAATTTTAATATTATTGCTGTGGTGTAATGGCCAAAACCGCTACACAAAACCCCGGGTTGTAATACAGGTTTGAAATGAACTTCTAACTCAAGTTATAACAGTAGCACAAATTTTAACAAAATAGAATTTGCATATCCATATGATGTGGGACTTTGATACATTCAGTCCCATAATCTCAGAATTTTTTTAACAGGAGAAATGCTTTATTGCATTATACAGGAGGAGTAATAGTTCTAACGGGCCAACTACTCAATAGTTCCATCGGGAAAGTTCTGGCCCTTCTCAGGAAACCACCTTTTATATCTCACTGTGTCGTTACCTTCGGTGAAATCCCGGAGGGGGAAGATTCCTTTACTCATACACAACAAAGGTGTCCTTATTCTGACTCTGATGGAAAAACTTCTTTTATCTCTTTGTCTCTTGGAGTAACCTTTGAGGCTACAACTGGAATCATTAACAAAAGTACCCCATTGCAACAGGATTTCATCTATGGACTGAAAACTACTGCACTCTGAAATTGTTCATCCTAGACAAAGAACCTATGCAACCTTATCTCATTATATTTAATAATAATGCATTCTACTTGTGAATCTATTTTATTCTTAGGATGGATCACAAAAGTAAAGTTCAAGTATAGCTAATATCTTTAATTGAATTTGTTTAGTTCCCATTTGTTGATGGGTCGTTTTTTTTTTTTCTTCTTTCAATTAGTGGTCCTTTAAAGTCATTAAAATTACTTAATTTCTAAGTGCAGAAATTTGTATGAACTCTGAAGTACTTTATATTTCACTAATATGATGCTAATTTCTGTTGCTACTGTTAATTGCAATTATGATTCATTTGATATATTTGTTTGTAATACAAGATAGATGTGGTTATCTGTAAACCATTTTAATAAAAAAAAACACAGGCGGCATTTTTTAAGTAAGGGGATTTTAAAAATAAAAACCAAAAGAAAGAAAATTTTCAAAAACCAAATTTATATTCTGTTTCTGTACATTTCTATACATTTCTCTATTTTTCAACATAGTTGTGAAGTTTGTTTAAACACTTTTATACCTTAGAACTAGATTTTGAATACTGTCTTCATAGAAACTTGTCACCTGCTCCAGTAACCAAGAGGTCACAGCCTTTTCCACATCTTCATCGTCGTTCTAGTGCTTGCTGCCGAGGTGATGTTTGAGATAGTGGAAAAGGTGAAAATCACTCACTGCAAGATCTGGGCTGTAGGGGGCATAGTCCAAAACTTTCCAGCCAAGAGTCCAATAAAGCTGGGATCTGATATGCAGTTATGGCCTTGCATTGTCATGGAGTAGCAAAATTTCCTCTGTCAGCATGTTTTGTCTTTTGTTTTGAGTCGCTCTGTGCAGTTTTCACAGAGTTTGGCTGTAGGCTACCACATTTATTGTGGTTCTGTGTTGCATGAAGTCGACCAACAAAACTCCTGGCCTACCCAAAACACAGACACCATGGTCTTGCTCTGGGATGCAGTCTGTTTGGCCTTGACCCTTACAGGAGAGTGTGTGTGTGTCTCCATTTCATACTCTGTTGCTTTCATTCAAGCATGATATGTGAAACCCACATTTATCTCCTATTACTATCTGACTCAACATGGCATCATCTTCTTCATTATAACGAGTGAAAAAATTCAGCAAGCACTCAAATCTGTTTTTATGGTTCCCTGTTGGGAGTTATGGGACCCAATGGGAGCACGATTTCTTAAACTTAACGTTTTAGAAATAGTCTTGTACAGCACTGACCTAGACACTCCAGGAAATTCGTTTGAAGGAGTGCTTATGGTGAAGCATATGTTCTCAAGAATTTTCACTTCAACTGAATCCATCAAACCAACTGAATTGTCTGTCATCACAGGTGGGCAACTGGAGAGTGGGACACATTATGGACATTGTTGCAGCCAGCTTTGAAGTCTCTGACCCACTTTATACACTTTGCCTTCACTCATGGCAGTAGCTCCGTAAACTTCATAACTTCACAAATCTGCCAGTGAATATCTGTGGCAGACAGGTTTTTTGCCATGAAAAATATGTCACTGACTGTACCTCTAGTGTGGTGGGTGATTCGACTATCTTAAACATTTTAAAGACACAGAACAGACCATGCAGTTTACCTACAACTGTGCACAGTTGTTTTCAAGGAATGCCGTGACATGACGCAAGCACCTGTTGCGACATGCGCGCCACCTGTTATTGTATACCATGAAATAGCCCTTACTTAAAAATGTTACATATTCACATTACATTTCTGATATTCAGGCCAGTAAAATATGGAAGTGTTTGAAGATAAGAACAATAAGATATGGAAGTGTGTCCTTGGTCTTGCCAAAAGTATTATCATTTCGTATTTTTTAGTAGAATGTACAGTCACATGCAGAAGTTTAAGATCACTAGCCATTTTTATGTATTTTAACAGATTGCACCATTTTCGCTCGTGATTGCGTTTTCTTATGCATTGATTGCATCAAACGTGTTCTAGTGCTATAAATATAACCTGGTCTCGTTTATCAGTAGTTTGTTAGTGGATTTTGCATGCAAAGTGCCGTTGTATAATTATTATAAAGGGTAAAAAAACCTTCACTTACTCTTGAAAAACAGGCAATAATTGTGGCCCTACATGAAGTTTACTTTTCTGAATGTGAAATAAGTTTAAAGGTAAATGTCAGCAAGATAGCCATGCATCAATCTATCAGTAAATTCAAAATTTCGGGAAATTATATGGATCTTAAGAGAAATGGTCGCCCAAGAAAAACTTGTGCACATGATGATCGTGTGATAAAAAGGATGTCCAACAACCTCCTGCAATAAAATTAGAGCTTCTCTGGCTGCAAAGGGTACCAACGTCAGTTCAAGTACTATTTCAAGACATTTGACTAAAGATTATGGTTTATTTTCTTATAAACCTGCAAGGAAACCTCGACTTACTCAAGGTATGAAAAAGGAACGACTGATTTTCGCCAGACAGTATCAGAATTGGACCGAATAACAGTGGAGTACAGTGTTATTTTCTGATGAGTCAAGTGTTCAGCAATTTTCTGCACGTGCTAAATGTATTTGCAGCCCATTAGGAAAACGATATGATGATAGATATATGATTCCGACAATGAAATACCCTTCAAGCCAGATTATATGGGGTGCAATGTCTGCATCTGGTAGTGCTGCTGTATATTTCCTACCATCTAAAATCATGAAGAATGGCTGTCGGTATCTTAATTTGTTATGTGACAAGTTGAAACTGTTGGATGTTCACAGATGTTCAATTTTCATGCATGATGGGGGTTCTGTATCACAGGGCAAGAAATGTTAAGGACTATCTGAGGGTTACTCAAATCCAAGTGCCTGATTGGCCACGTAACAGCCCAGATTTGAATCCCATAGAGAATCTGTGGTGTATTGTGAAAAATAATGTCGCAGAGAAGCTACCATCCAGTGCTACAGAACTTGTTGAAACAATAAAGCATGTGTGGTGTGCAGAGATTTCTCAAGCTTACTGCCAGTCTTTTTTTCATAGCATGCCTAAAAGGATTGCAGCAGTGATAAAAAATAAAGGAGGTCCAACAAAATACTGACTATACTTCAATAAACTTGTAAGTCTATTTTCTTCATTTATAACATGTTTTGTTGCAGAATCCCAATAAATCTGATTTTTCTATGTGTGGTCCTAACTTTTGCACACGACTATACGAAGAGGTAATTAGACATAAGTAAAAACTTAAGGAAGCTGTGTGAATTTGAATTTTACCATTCTATCAATATGAAGATGCATGAAATCATTATTTTCCATACATAGTTTTTTTAAACTTAAATGCATAAACAAAAATTGTCAAAAAATTTTTCATGTTCTTTTTTATTCATTGTATTTATGAATAATCACTATAATAATCATTACTAGAATGCACATCTGTTTTTATATTTATTGAAAGGTTTCTATGTGATTTTTTTTATTAGGTTTGCCAGGTTAGTAAAATAGGTCATTATTTTGATTGTGGTGATCAAAACTATGTTAGTTTTCTATGGAATAAAACAACAAAGCTGCCTTATGTACAATACGTTGCTGCTCCTAGGTAATTTTCTTATGTTTTTTTCTGAATATTTCTAAACTACTTGTATGTTTTATTTGTTATCTAGCATTTTTTCATACTTTTATTTTGTAAACAAATTTTAATATTTCTAATGTACCATCCATATGTTTCTGCATAATAAAATCTCTTTTTGTATCATTAAAATAACCCATTAAAGTCTTCTTAAAAGGATGAAGGTATCTTTGAGAAAAAGGACCCAGGACATGACATTTGCCAAATATTACATTACAAAGCCAAGATATAGCTTATTACTGGAAGAACACATTACAGGGATACCCATAAAATAGTACCCATAATTAACTATTTTGCACATTTAAAAAAAAAAAAAAAAAATTCTGTTTCTGGCAGATTTTTGTCAGTATTGCAAAAATTGCTCCCTTCTGTAGTCACTTCCGCGCCACCAGCAGTGGAGCAGTAAAGTCACAGAACACTGGTAGTTCGGTCCGAAGTTTGAATCCCATGAATGGGCTGGCTGCATGGGCATTTTCGTGGTTTTCTCCATGTGTAATGTGTATACGAGTCAGTTCCCTTAGAAAGTCCTCCACAAAGGCATCCCACTCCTTAGGCAGGTAACTCCCGAGGCTTTGCCATAATCACATAAATGAAACCAAACCGTAGTCACTTCCACTTGTGCTGATTAGAATGGCGGATCACCAGAGTTCTCAAGCTCAATTCCCAGCTTCCATCGAGAAATAGTCTGTCATTAGTAATAAATGTTAATGAACTCATTAATGATGCATAGATGTACAAAATTTAAAACATAATGGTGCAAGCATTTTCTTTAAGCCTCCAGAAAATAAAAAGACTAACTGTTGGTTGCTGTGTTAATTAATATTCTTTAAGTTTATTAGTTCACTTTTAATTTTAGTTCAGTTAAGGTATGTTGATAAGACTTTACCAAGACAAGAAAAATAAATAAATATAGACAATATTAAATAAATATAAATAAATAAAAATAAAGACAAGAAAAATAAAATTTTGTTATTTGAATCATTATTAATCTTAGACCATGCTCTAGGATACCCAAAGCCTCTGTAGAGTTTATGCCGGGAAATAAATGTTGCATTTCTTACAGCCCATGGATCAAGCTGTGTTAGCTAAGTTTAAGATATTATACAAGGACAATAATGAAATCAGGCAATCTAGGCAACTGGCAGGGAAGGTGGGACTACATTAAAAGATTTTTTAAAGACTGTAATATATAGAACATAGTAAATAATACTGGAGACTCATAGGTGGAAATAAAAGAGTCCACAACCAAAGTTTCATGGAAACAATTATGCCCACAAATGATGAGTGATTTTATAAATTCTGAAGGAACTTCAGGAATTCTCACAGAAGAAATAGTTAGCCTAATGAATGAGGGCCTACATTAAAAGATTTTTTTTAAAGACTGTAATATGTAGAGCATGGTAAATAATATTGGAGACTCGTAGGCTAAAATAAAAGAGTCCACAATGAAAGTGTACTGGATACAATTATACCCACTAATGATGAGCAATTTTATAAATTCTGAAGTTCAGATAGATCGATGTATACATGGACAAAGTCAAGGGAGTGCACAATGCCAAGTTTGTGCAATTTTCTGATGTTTTTTTTAAGTGAAAATGGGTTGATGTGCACATGGATAACGAGTTTGTGCAATTCTTTGACTTGTTATTTTGGCTTTATGTAGCACCAATTTATGCACTAAAAATCACCGCTACATAAAGCCAAAATAACCAATCAAAGAACTGCAGAAACTCAGTGTCCATGTATCGCTAATTTTCAACAAGGGGCACCCGTAAATATATTTATATTTACAAAATGGTATGATAAAGATACAGACTGATGATAGTTCTGATATACAAAGTGGTTTTAATTAAAGTACCTATTTAGACCTATGTGGAGTCCATTCTGGTAGACCTCTCATTCTCTTTCATTGAAACTTGATATATACCTTATATGGACATCAGGGAAAAGAAATCTGCAATAAAAATTAATAGTTCAAATTTCAACTTACAGATGGCACTTTTCATGGAAATATAGAATGAATGTTACGCAAATTTGGAGCATTTTGTAAAACCAGTCTTCAATGCCATAAATCCTTGTTCACCATGTGTTAAAGAAGAAAGATTGATCCTTACTGATCAAGTAGTTTTGTGAAATAGGCAGTGATTTTTCATCTGTTTTACCAAAAGGGCCTGTGTTGAAGCAAGATTTGAAAAAGACCATTACTAAATTTCAAGAGACAGAAGTTGTATGTGCTGTGAGGAAGAGTATGCAAACAATGGAAGAAACCACTCTTGCTGTGGTCAGAAGAGATTTTTGTTCCCAATATTCCTCGAGCAGTGTAACACGTTTAGTCTATCCCTTGGTGGACAGTATGAAAGCTTCTGCGATCCATTGTAAAATAGTACTTGTACAAGATCCAAGTTTTGCAAGAACTGCATTGTGCAAACCCGGACAAATGCACTGTTGTTGCTAGCCTGATTAGCATTTCTGGCCATATTCCAGCCAAAAGAAGGCATGGTCTTAAAGCATTCCGTGGTTGGACGAGTTGAATTTTATCCTAGACAGAGCAGTTACCTCCACAGGGTGCTGTAATTCCTAATCTTCTGCATGAAGAGCCTGATTGCATTACTGTATGGTTTGGTTTTACTGCTGATTTCATTCTTGGTCTCTTTTTTTCTTTGAGAACACTTCTGAAGGCTATAGTGGCGTGGTGGTTATGTGCTTGGTGTATATCCTTGAATTGACATGACTCCTTTTCTTTAAACATAACCTTTGTTCACACACACCATAACTTTAAACACAATTGAAATAACAGAACGAAATAACAAAATCTACTAAACTAAAATTTAAACATCCTATGCTACAGCTAAGGGCGAAGTGAGTGAGTTCACTGCCGCGCTAGCAGTTTTTACATTAACCACATGACGTGGATTGGCTGCCCATGCAGTCAAACATTAGATTGCCACAAGGCCCTCAGAAGTGTTTCATCATGGGTATTTGTTGCTGTGAATTTCTTTAGCAACAAGTTATTCTTGCTATATAAGAGCGATAATGTTTAAAGACGACTGCCTTCATGCAAATTAGTGCATTACCTCTTCCATTGCCAGACTAGTATAGGTATTGCTTCGTGCTAGCTTTGGAGATAATTGGGTAATTTTCAGAACTTTTCTGCTCTCCTCGTTCCCTGGACTTAAATCCCTAAGTCTTCTGTTTGTAGAGATTCCTGAAAGGTAATGCCAATGGAAGAAGCATACGGACTATGTCTGAACTGAAAGCAAGTAGAACATACAGGATGGCAATTATTGAACTATAGGAAATAAAACCATCATAACTTCTGAATGGTTTGCATGATGAAGTTCAAACTTCGTGGTTGGCTACAGGGCATGATGGGAACTGGTATGTGCATGCACACACAACTTTTGTCAGCAATTTCCAAGTGAAAATGTCATGGTACAGCGTTCCTTAGTGTACTTGATCCATTTTCAAGTGATTTATAAGTATATAAAATATTTGAGTTAACTATTTTTCTTACATCATATTTTACATATATTTTGAGTTAACTATTTTTCTTACATCATATTTTACATATATTTTGAGTTAACTATTTTCTCTTACATCATCATTATCCTCATTGCAACAAACATGCTTTTACCTAAAAACTGCACAATGTATATCAGATTAAATTCAAACATTAGAAATTTAATTTCTTATCCATGTATGTGTGTCCTCAATTCCAAACTTATGGGTGCATCATAGTTTGAAAGGTATACAGATTTATTTATTTATTTTTGACTGTGAAGTTTCCAGTTTTTAGGTTTAAGTATTTGCATTAATTTGTTTAAAAATATTTTGTCAGTAAATATTTAGCTCTTAAATTTATTATTTCATTTTCTTAGGAAAACGAAGGTCACACTTGTCTGTTCAGAAACAGCATATGAACCATCATTGAATGTGACTGGTGAAACAGAAAGAGATGTTTATGTATGTAATCTTTTATAACTGCATTTTATTCAAGTATATGTTTTAAGCAAAAATACTTGTCCAAGGAAACTGTTTCTATTAGATTTAACATCTTGTTCCTGGTTTCACTTGGCTAGAATGATATAATTATGAGTAGAAGGTCCAGGGTCTTAAAAGAAAATCTAAAATGCTTACAGTAAATTATCTCTAAAGAAAATATCAAATTCTTGTAAAAAATTACATTTTCATACAAGTGTATGAAGCAGTTAATGTCCTTATCCATTACAATGTATTCAAAATGTAATGTATAACATTTTATCATTATGATATGTAATTATATTATTTTACTCCTTTTGAATCCCATTTCTGTAAGATTTTTAAGTAACAAACATTGTTATCATTATTTTATATAACAAATTTTGATTCTAAAATAATTTCTGAATTAAAAAAAAGAAGAGAACTTTAGATAAAGAATGCATCATAAAACCACTAAACGGACTAATTGCCTGATTTATTTTATTTTGATTTTGTCTAGGATAAGAGTCTAAGGGTATACTTAATCTGGTACTTGAACTTTAGTTCTGTAACCTTACAGATAGTAAGTTAAAAATAGCATGACAGGACTTCTGAACTAAAAGGTTTTTAACAATCTTTTGTTAAACTGAACTTTTGAGAAAAACAGGGCATGGCTTGTGCTACAAATAATCGTTACCTCTGTCAATGCAAATTAAATAAGTCAAATCAATTTAAGCGTTGGTTAGTAGTCTAAGACTACACAGTTAAATACTAAGCTACAAACTGGCTGAAATAATCTAATGGCACATATGTTTCAAATGTTGGCTGCAAGAGCATATAAAGCAGAGATAATTGCATTTAACTAGAGCTGGCAGAAATCTAATCACACAAACTCTTTGTTTAGATCTAAAAACATCAGCTTAAACCCAATAAATTTTACAAACAACAGAATGCAAATAAAATAATTTGCATTCTGTTGAGAAATACGGAAAGGAAAAGTTAAAATAAAGATCAAAATCATAATAAATGGTTAGTTTAGATTAAAACCCTTGCAAGAGTAATATGAAAGACCTACAAAATTAATTTAAAACAAATTACTGTGAATGTAGGAGAAAAGCCTGCCTCTTGACCCTTTAGCCCCCTTCAGACGAGGGCGTAAAGGGCATAAGTGGTTAAAGCCAGGCCCCATTGCCAAGGCAACCAGTCACTGCTACGTCACAGAATCTGGTTTAGGGCTCGTTAGGGTTCCAAGTTTTCAACTTTACGCCGAGTTTGGGATAAGCGTTGACCAATCAGAGCAAAGCTAAAATGAAGCGGCTTTCTTCAGACGATTTCGCTGTCACATCGAAGGCGACTTTTTTTTTAAATATGGAACACATCATATCCGAATGAGTTGTAATCGTATCCGAACGAAATAAAGAGTTGATCTCGCAAGAAATCTACGATGATGACATGCATTTTTTTAATGAGTTTTTCAGTTTATATTCAGAAATATGGATGAAACTCGTAAAGCAAAAGTTAAGCTCAGGATTATGCACGCTGTGTATGAGCCTGTAGATGATTGATCCCATCCAATAATTTTCATGTCATTATGAAAGTTCTTTAAAAAATGCATGCTTTCAAAAATTTTATTTTTTCTGTGTAAATTATTATTACAGTCAAAAGTCCTTAATTCGGACACCCATAATCCGGACCTCAAAGTTACAAACTTTCTGCGCATGTGTTGCGTTGACGCATGCGCGTAAGACCTTTACGGCTGCGAATATGCGTGTGCGCATGCGCAAAATACATTTACGCATGTGCGTTTAATGTATAACGGATGGTATAAGCTAAGCTAAAATTATCTAATTCAGTTAATGTTGCAGATTGCGTTGTTCCTTAATCTTCGAATTGGATCCGCCTTATTATTTTTTGCAATATAGAAAGTCATTTTTCCATTTCCTCTATTGTATTATTTCTAGAACGGGCAACTCTAGTTGCAGAGCTTGTCGTAGTTGCAGTTGCCAATGACAGTATTTTTTCTTTATTCTTAAAGCTAGTCCTTATTGTTGACGTTGCCAAATTCAATGCAGCATCAATTTGAGATTGAGTTCACCAGTATCTAATCTTCTAATTACTTGCATTTTAGTTTCTAGTGAAATCCTTTTTTTGTTGCTTTATTTTCGTGTTTTTTATTATCACCCATGATAAAAACTAAAAATCATAATATTTGTCACTCTATGAACCATTATATTATATAAATTTATACTTACAATAACGTCAACAAATGTTTGAAATGATAAAAATACGTTCGTATTTTTAAAGGAAGAAGGAAAGAAGAGACACAGATAAACTGCTTCATATATCCAGAAGCCTAATGCTGCGTACAATTTCGGGGAATCTCACAATTCAAATAAAAGAGCTTTAAACCGAAACAGCGTTAAGCGGTGTCTTACTGTATTTAAGAAAGCAAAATATCTTAAGTTATAAGCTAATATGTATCAAGTGACAAAAAATCTCATGATCGGATAAAGCCCGTCATGTTGCTCCGAAGGTTAATAAAGTATTTTCATGTTTTCAGAATGACCTTTGTCTTCTTGAATTTTCCCAATACCCTACATCGGGTAGATGTAAACACATAAATTAAATTTTGGCTTTTTATTTTCATCATAAGAATGATGATGATACTGATGCCTATAAAGGGGGACTCGTAAAAACACTATCAACCACATCCCATTTCAGTGCTAGAATCTTTCATATTCTTAGAATCGGTATATCATGCAACATTATGCTTACACTGCTTTGGTAAGTTGGTTTTGTTAAAGCATAGATTATATTTTTGTGGGAGAACACATATTGCAAATGAAATCTTGTTTCATAAATGTGATATTCAAGTCTATATGCTCATTTTATATTTTTATGATCAAATTACATGATTATAATGGCTTGCAAGATAGTATACCTTTTCTCACTTGCATGATTGATACATGAGTTTCTGTATGAATATTACTGATTTCCAGGTACACCATTTATGTTTGCAATCACACATCTGAAGTCGGCTGAACAATATAACTCTATGAAGAGCTTGATATTTGTTTCATAGTGGCAGCCAAAAAACTTATTTTGGGCTGAGTCACAGAAAATGCCTGGCTTGATATTTCATTCTGGCATTTTGATTAAGATAATTTTATTATGATTAAGATGTATTATCTTTGTATTGCATTGAATAACCAGTTTTTCAGACATACAGAAGTACAGTCAAAAGTCTAATCCGGACTCGTCGGGACTTCAGCGATTCCGGATTATCGGTTTTTCCGGATTATAGATCATCAGTGGTCAGATCAGTGGTCAAATCTGGTGAGATGGCATGCAGAAATTATAGAATTAAAATATGAAACCGTAATTTATGAAATAAAGAGCAATTATGATCTAAAGGGTAACAAAATTTACAAAAAAAAAAAAAAAAAAAAAAAAAAAAAGGCTTAATATTTATTTGTTTACTTTATTAAACATTTCTTTCAACGTGCACATGCGTAACGCATACATTACGCATAGTCGAAATTAGAAAATTGCAACCAGAAAACTATTTGATGTGTATTCGTGATATTTATAAAGACAAGGAATTTGATTTAAATCATATCAAAGATGGAGTACATCGAGATGAAATATTACATTTAGTAAGGAATTACAAGCCGAATAAAATAAAAACATCTGCCCTGAAGATAAGGATAGTGCTGACAGATCAACTTCCAGTTCATTGCACGCCACAACGTCCCCCCCTGTCCCCGCAGAGCAGCGTGAAGTTGATAAGCAGATTTTGGAATCGTTAGAGAAACAAAGGATATGCCTTTATCCATTTTTTGCAGCAATTCCACTTTTTGTTTGATGGACATCGAAACGTGTTTTCGCTTTGTAGATCCTTTGGTAGCTCCAGAATCGGAAATTCTTTTTGACATAATCGAATGTTCAGGCTTACTTTTATAAAATTGCTCTAACAGTCTGCAAAAAATAATAAGCCAGATTCAATTAGAAGATTATTAACAACGCAGTCTGCAACATTAACTGAAATAGATAATTAGATAATTTTAGCTTAGCTTATACCGTCCGTTCTACATTAAACGTGCATGTGTAAACGTATTATACTCACATGCACAGACACATATGAGCATGCGTAAAGGTATTATGTGCATGTGTTAACAGATGTTGACACATGCGCAGAAAGTTTGTAGCTTTGAGGTCCGGATTATAGATCATTTCGGATTATGGACGTCCGGATGAAAGACTTTTGACTGTATTAAAATGTTATTTGTTAGGTTTATCTAATGTTTTGGGACTTATATATATATATATATGTAATGATTTCAAATGCGTAGATGAAAGCAGTGGACCTCCCAACAGCTTACGATACTGCGTAGATGACCGAGAAGACCGTAGTGGCTTGAAGGTGGCAGTGTGGAAAGCATGATGATGCAGCTTAGCACAACATATCTTGAAAAATCACAATCTTTATTTTTTCCATGCATATAAAGTAATCCTTTTTCAGACAAGATATTTCTTAATAATATTTGAATAGAATAACTCCCATTTTTAAGTTCGACGTCATCTTAAGCAAGTAAGCGGCAGCAGCATGGATGAAAAGTGTTTACCAGCAGGAGAGTAACGTGGAAAAAGGGAAAGGTTATAGTACTTTCATAGGAAGAAGGCTGGGAGTGGGGAAGTTTCAGTTCACAGTTTTGGTTTAGAATTAATTTGATTGGACGAGAGGCATATGCATTAAAAGGTTACATAAGATAGAAAAGTCTGGAACCTGTGAGAAGAAATGAATTTAGGGGCAGATTACCAAATTTAGAATGTTAATTTTGAGGTCATCAATTATTTTTTTTGAAACAGCTATCATATTTTGTTATATCTTAAATATTCCCCCCTTCAAAAGAAAAGTTGGGTGAGCAGGGTGGAACAAGCATTAAAGCAGCAAAATGTGAAAAGTTATAATTGTGAAAATACAAAACATATTTACTCTTTTTTTTTTAAAACAAAAAATTATTGCCATAAATCTTGACCGATATTTTGACATTTCATTGAAAGTCATAAAATTTTGAATTGAATTATGAATTTTAGCACTGTACTCTTTTAAAACAATTGCACATTTTAGTGTTCTGAGATAAGAATGCCCAATGAAATTTTATAAAGTTCTTGATAGTTCCACACGGTAATAGTTCAAATTTTTTCACAAACTAAATGTACAGTTCAAAATACTACCATCAATAAATCATAATACAATTAACTTATAAATGCAATTCCCCCCCCCCCCCCCCCCCCGAAATGAAAGAAACTCAATTTGGAACTTAATATCACTTCACGATCACTTTCATGACTTTTGATAATATTGCATTTTTTGAATATGAAGAATTAGCCGAATAAAGCACTGAACATGCAAGAGAGCACAAAATACTATTTGGCATTTCATATTTCACTGATGAGGTTGATGACCTTCAAAGCACTTTGGATGTTTATGTTTAAATCGGAACATTTTACGATATTCCAGCAAGCCAGAATCAGTAACGTATTTCCTACGTTGGCGTCGCTGACCTATTCGAAACATTACGAATTCCAAGCAAGCCAGAATCAGTAACGTATTTCACTACGTTGGCGTCGCTGACCTTGATTCGAAACAGTTTTGATTTCGAACTTTCAGAGATATTCGATGATTTCAAAGCACTTTTAGAATATGCCGTTATATCACAAACCGGAAATGAATTTAATGATTCACTGGTAGTTTGAGGCAGCAGAGTTCAAAATTCATTCGGGAAAACTTGCACCAGGTTAATCCTGTCCTGACTTTTTATAAATATATAATGATTTCAAATGCGTAGATGAAAGCAGTGGACCTCCCAACAGCTTACGATACTGCGTAGATGACCGAGAAGACCGTAGTGGCTTGAAGGTGGCAGAGTGGAAAGCATGATGACGCAATTTAGCACAACATATCTTGAAAAATCACAATCTTTATTTTTTCCATGCATATCAAATAATCCTTTTTCAGACAAGATATTTCTTAATAATATTTGAATAGAATAACTCCCATTTTTAAGTTCGACGTCATCTTAAGCAAGTAAGCGGCAGCAGCATGGATGAAAAGCATCTTACCAGCAGGAGAGGTAACGCGGAAAAAGGGAAAGGTTATAGTACTTTCATAGGAAGAAGGCTGGGAGTGGGGAAGTTTCAGTTCACAGTTTTGGTTTAGAATTAATTTATTGGACGAGAGGCATCTGCATTAAAACGTTACATAAGATAGAAAAGTCTGGAACCTGTGAGAAGAGATGAATTTAGGGGCAGATTACCAAATTTAGAATGTTAATTTTGAGGTCGTCAATTATTTTTTTGAAACAGCTATAATATTTTGTTATATCTTACATATATATATATTGTTACGAAATGTCCAGGTGCGGTGGGATAGCTTCTCCGCGAAGCAGGTTAAGGTTTTCCATAAAATGGCTAGGGAAGGCAGGGTTGGCACATTTGGTGAGGAATAGTCCATTTGGTGACAAACTTGGAGATGTGCCACAGATGGATGGAGAACCTTCTGGAACGAGTTCTTACTAGTTTAGCCAGAATGTTCTCGAACTTAAGCCAAAAGCTATATAAACTCTGCTGGTACGCGGAGTTAGTTAGTTCGTGAGAGTCCATCGACTTGATGGTCAGTCAGTGGGAGCCAAGTTGGTCGAGTGCACCGAAAGAGTCTCTTAGTGAATCGCAAGTTATTGCATCATCAAGTTTTATCTTAGAGTGTGTTGAGCTTCGGGAATGACTGAACCAAGGAGTCGGCAGCTTACTCTAGTATATAATCAAGTGTATCACAAGTTGTAGCTTGGAGGGTCTCGAGAGTACGTGGAGTTCCGAGAAGAGTCGGGAGCTGTGCTCGAGTGCTTTGCAGTGAAACTGGCTCCACCGTTATAGCCTGATCGCTCGAAGGCTGTGTTGCTGATTGTTTCAGTGAGTTTATAGTAGTTCTTCAACAACTGTAAACGTGTTATTGGAGCTGTCTTGAACAATACTGGCTAATAAATTGTGTTTCTGTGCTTCTTCAAGTAGTGTCATCATTATTCACTCCAAATCTGCACAAACCCTGTACCGTACAAATACAAAGGAAAAGAAAAACGCAACAATACGTATATACGTTGTAGGATTCAAAAGTTCCCGGACTGAGTCTATAACTGCTTAAGGGTCTTATTTCAAAGGAGGATGTGTTTCTGCAATTTAATTCATATTTTTTACATTATAGATCGAGTCTGGGAACTTTCGAATCTTACCTCATATATATATATATATATAGAGAGAGAGAGAGAGAGAGAGATAGAAAATAAAACAATATACATATATATTTGTTTTATTTTTATGATTTTTTAATAAATTTTTCAGATGAATTGTCATCTAATATACAATAAATTATGAGTTTTCTAATTTCATTTGTAGAATCATTAGGTTATATTGAAGCAGGAGGCGTGAAATATGTGCAGTGCCCTCTCTGGGACTTGAACCCTGGACCTCTCAAAAACATGTCGAGTATGCCTCCAATTACACTACTACGAAGGCGTGAGAAAAGGAGAGAGAAAGTACCTTATGTACTCTCCTCTTTTAAGGGATGACTGAGGATGAGGGAACCCAATCACCAAATCCTGGTGGTAATGATTTATTGTCTACCATGTTTTAGTTTGGGCACCACATGTAGAGCCATTAAGGTGTTTTTTTTTTTTTTTTTTTTTTTTTTTTTTTTTTTTCCCTTTTTCTTTTAAAGCACGTCATGAGAAAAATGTGCCATGCCCTCACCAGGACTTGAATCCTGGACCTCTCGAATATGCATTGAGTATGCTTCCAATTATACCACAAAGCCATTCGGAAGAGGGAGAAAATACTTTATACATTAATCCATCCATTATTAGCTATGCAAATACATTTCATTCTTGAAAAATAAATTAAGATCAGAATATTTTTGTGTATCAAATTCATTTCAAGAATTTAGAAAAGAGGGGAGAAAAATTCACTTCTCTTTCTTTCTAGTTGTTGCATAACTCAAATCTTTGCATGAAGAAATTGTAAAGTGTATCTTCAAGCTAAAATATCTGGATGCTGTATAATAAATGCTTGTTACTGTTAAGTTTTAATAAATCTGTGTATTTTATTCAAAATATTATAAAAAATTTTCTCACTTTTTATGGTTTTATTTTAAAGGAAATGGCTCTTACATCAAGATGTGCCTGTCCTGACTTGTGTCGTCAAAATCATCTTTCAACAGGATCAGTTTTAGTTATAATGTAAGCTGTTTATAAATTATTATACATCTATATGGCAGAAAATAAAACAAAATTAAATGTGCACTTTTACATGCCTACACATATATACATTCAAAATGTTAAATATTACTTGATTTTAGGGTATATAAATATATTTTATAAAAAGTTTTGTTTATTGGATTTTTGAAATTTTACAGAAATTGCTTTCTCATGAATTGCTGCCACTTGGAAGATGGTTACTGTAGCAATATGTTTTTACGTTTCCTTTTTTGCAATATTATATTCTTTTTTCAAAAACTTTTATAGAATTTGCTGTTGTGTTAGGAACATCAATATCTTTTTGTAACAAATGAGCAAGTTTTACATATTTCAAATATAATAGTATGCTAGAAAGTTATTCAGTATTTAATGTAGTTTTACTAATTTACATATTCATTTTTAGAAAGAATACGTTCCTTATTAATATTAAACAATCCCAAATATTATTTGAGAACCAGAAAATTATTTTGGAAAATTTTTCATTGGGTTCTCATAAGCATTGAGGAAGATTTCAAATGGACGGCCTTACTGGGCTGCTTATTAAATTTTTATATGTGGTACAGATTTTTGTACTTTGCTAAATTAAATTAGCCATCTCTTGAACCTTTAGCCCTGAAATTTTTAGGTTACAAAATGAGAAATAAGACTGCCAATTTTTTTTTTTAGCAAGAAAAAACCACTTTTTTTGACATTTCGTCTATTTTGATATGAATTATTAACTTGAAATAAAAATCCTTATTAATTTACTATGAGCACACTGTTTTAATTATATGTTTTTCTGCAAGATTGGCATTCTGTTCATTTGTTGTTAACAGAAATGTTAACAAATATTTTTTGTGTTCTGTTTATAGGTAATTCATTAGCTTCTCTTATTTCTTTTAAACAAGTGGTCAGGTGGTTTAAAATTCTGATATATATTATTCAAGCAGAGCATAGATTCTAATCATTAACCCTTTGTTGCATACAAATAATCTGGAGAAGTTAAACGAAAATGTTTGTATTTTTCTACTTAAAATAACCTTAGTAATAATTTTAAAAAATTAATTTTATTCAAATTTCGTTTTAAAAAATTGCTACAGTTTGTTCACTACAGTGGACAGCATGCATATACATACATACATGCATACAAATCTCTTCCCAACGATTTACGGTCATTGCATTTGAAATCATTTCCTGCCTTGTTTGCAGTGATCATTACCATCTTCTAAATGGTAAATGTACAACTGACATGTACATACTGATCCCCCAAAATACCTTCATTTCGTCGATTGTGATTGAATTCATTTTGCTACGATTGTGTAAACTGTACCTATTGGATTCAAATGTGAAATGTTCTAGAAATTCCTTGCAAAACATAAACATTTCCAGTGGTGTTTTGGCTTGATGAGCAGTACATTTGGGTTTCAATTCGCTCTTTTCGGTAGATCTTTATCTAGCAACTCCACAATTTTCTCAAACTGACATTTAAAATAAAGTGTCTAAAATTACTAATTATGAATAAAAAATGGCAGTATAAGAAAATGCAAGCAATATTATATAATGTTTATTATGAGAAATTGTACTAACTTGGAAACAGAAGTAACAGCCATTTTCCAAATAGCAATGCTTTACTTAATGATGCTATACAGCCATCTATGATCGACAGTTAAAAGTTCTAATAATATAAAATGAATAAACACAGGAATGGAATCTGTTAAGGCATTTACAGAAGAATAAACAAATTTAAACTTTTGTCTACTAGAGTGGACATGATGCAACAAAGGGTTAAACTTGATTTATGAACATGAAAATATAAACATGAACATATAAACATGAAAATAGTAATTAGAAATTTTAAATTTCTAATTACTATTTTCATGTTGTGTATACATGTTGTGTAATATATATATTTTCTTTTAAAAAACTTCTTTCTTTCTTGATTGATTTATCATGTTTCTTGGATTATACATTTGCAGCATTTAGGCTTGAAATTGCATTACATTATTAGCTGCTTTCTCAGACACAGGTTTACACATTGTCTTATAAAGACCTGTCATAAAAGTAACTGTGTATCATTACTGCTGAAAAAAATATAGTAGAGAATTTGGATTCAGATCATACGATTTAATTTCACTCTTGAAAAATGTAATCTCTGAAATGGTTCTTTTAAAAGTAATTCTTATTTGTTCGAAAATATTGATAATTTTTATTTGAATGAAACTTGAAAAGTATTCTTTATTTTTTATGGTATTTAAACTTACTGTTAATAATAATTACACACCTTTAAATTTTATTTCTCTTAAGTGTAAGAAAAGTCATGATTGCAAGGACATTTTATACTTCATTATTGTTATAGCCTTTCTCAATGAATTAAAATATTTTTAGTACATTTTATGGTTTTTTAGACACTTTTATGGATTTGTAAATGCAACATTTTGTCATCCAAAAAAGAAGTGTAAAAGCCAACTGTTTCCAGCCTTTTTATTAGCTTGGTATTTGCTGTTTATTTAATAGAACATGATTAATTTTAGCTTCAAATTTATGTGAAAGAATCAAATTATTGATCATACATAATTTTAATTGGTACCCCCCAAAAGTTGAGGAGAGGCTAAATTTGACAATAATGAAAATTAACTTTAAAATGTTGTATTGAAATAATGATTTGAAAGTTGTATTTTAATAATTTATTTTTAAATATTTTTATTTCAGATTTTTAATATTTGTATCTTTATATCTTGTACTTGGAATTATACACTCAAGTTTGACACGAGGAGCTCATGGTTGGGAACTGATACCTCATTATGAATTTTGGGCAGACTTTCCACTACTTGTTCGGGTATGATATATATGTTACAATATTTTTTATATATATATGTATTATTTTCTCAGTAGTAGCATCCTTTTGTAGAGACTTAGTTGTTAACGGTGAAAAATCACTAAATGTTACTGCCATTTGAAAATTCTCTGAAAACTGCTAAAAGTCATTTAGAAAATTTTCGTTATTACACACAATTGCGCAGTTTTAATTTTTGATCAATTAAGTAGCTTGAATGGGTAAAACAAAATTTAAATGCATACGTTAACAGCTTTAAAATATATAAGTATTACTACAGTTTAGTAAATACAAAATGTATCAAGATGTGAAGACCATGATTAAAATGCACAGAATATAATGAAAAGAAATATATTTTATGATTTTTTTTAACATACATTTAAACTGCAGACCAGTCTTAGTAACAATTTAAGACAATAATACTTCCAAATCATTTAAGTATCAGTCTGGAGACGAATAATATTATTAATTGAAAAGAACCTTTTATAATTATCAATGAACTAATTTTGCTTCCTATTTAAAAATAGTTTTTCGGCATATTTTTTCAGCGTTTTTACCTTTTTTATAGTAAAAAACCATCACATAGCGTATTTATTGAGATATTTCACTCATTTTCAAATTCATATAACTTTTTAAACGAGTAAGGAATTAAAAAACCATCTTCACCAACAATGGAAGCTGACTATCACCTTTTAAGCACATGTTGGTTTGAGACAATCGGGTGATTGTTGCCGGGTACATAGGCATCAACACCATCTAGTAGCAAAAAAGGGCAGTTACTTTTTATATGACCCAATATATTTAAAATCAGATCAATGACACATATCTGTATATAATACTGGAAAGCTTATGAATTCCCACATCTTTGCAAATCAGTCAGTACTGTGACAAAATAAACTATGTAGAGATTACATGTGTTAAGAAACGAGCATTTATATTAAAATATTGTTCATAAATCTGCAGTGTTTAAGAAAATGTTAATCATTTTAAAATTATCAATAACTAACACACACACACACACACACACACACAAAAAAAAAAAAAAAAAAAAAAAAAAAAAAAAAAAAAAAAAAAAAAAAAAAAAAAAAAAAAAAAAAAAAAAAAAAAAAGTGAAAGGAAATTTTATAAATATATTCCATGGCTAGAACAAATCTTGAACAATGAAAGATGTGTAGAGTATATTTTTGTGCCTTAAATGGTATAAGTAATGATGGGTTTTAATGTGTTTTACTATTGCTTTATTTCATTATGCTTTTAAATGTTTAAATAATCTGTCATTAATGGCAGTCAACTAGTGGTGATTTAGTTAATAATCCAGTTTTGAATTAAATAAAATTAAAGCATTAGTTTGACATTATTTTATCCTTGAAATGTAAATTAATCTGCGACAATTGCTTTTGGAAAAAGTGCACATGGGCACGACAACTATGTCATCGAGCATTTAAGTCTCCATCAAATACCGGTGTTTAATAGTTACAACTGTTATTAAAATGCATTTGTTGCTTTAATATTTATACTTACTTTGTTTATAAATGTATATGTGTATTTTTTATTGGAACTGTTGTAGCCCACTCATTTAATATCTGTGGACATAGATATTAATGGTTATATGTGTATCATAAAAAGGGGAAAGATATTTAAATGTCAACACAGTATTTTACAGTTATGAACTGTTGCTTGTGATGTTAGTAATTAATGTAGTGCTGATTTAACTCTAATATCATGAATCCCAGTATCAGTATTATATTAACTACAAGATAAAAGTGTAAAAATTGTTTGTTAATGATAATTACTTTATTGAAATCACTTATTTTTTCTTGCCAATCATTACTGTAATTATTATTATTGGCATGTGGGTCCACATTTAGATGTTGATGAAAATGTTAAATATTTTACCTTAAGTATTCACTCGACAGTGTTTTGATGCATTTTACAGCAATCTTGAGGATTAACAAGTTTTTTTTTTTTTTAATTCAGTTTTACCTTAACTATGCCTCCATTTTATTATTTTTGTAATATCAATCTTTATGCAACTTATCTTATTACATTCAGTATGCAAGTCGCCAGTTCCCAACTTTTGACCTTATTTTCAAATGAAAGATAGTACTTCTGGAAGTTCTGTTTCACAGTCTTTAGCAGAGTAATGGAATTAAAATTAATTAATTATACAATATTGCAGCTTTACTTGGTTTTTTATGCCATTATTACTTTTACTTTCACAGTCTTTACTTTCCACACCACCAAATTAAATTTGATACAAAACTAATTTTCTTGGAAACTTTTGCAACAAAATCAACCTGTTATGTGCCAAATATAACACCTCTCGGGGTTTTTCGTAATTTAACTAGCTCACTTTTGATCAAAGTAAAGTATTTTGTGAGGTGATTTACCACCATTAGAATTTCTAACCTTTAAAGCAAACAGATAACAGAAATAAGTTAACTTCAATTTATTCTAATAAACCACCTGTGAAGGTTAAATTAAAATGTACAACACACAATTACGAGTTATATGGAGCTGGCTTAAACCCAGTCTTTCTTTAAAATGCTGTAAGTTTGCAAAGTTTGATCAGTTACTAGGAACAGTTGCACCTTGACCATGATAACAAGATTCACCTTGACCGTGGCAAAAATTCAAATGTTTAGCTATCCCCATGCAAAGCTATCCTTTTTTTACAATATTCAATATCAGCATTGGTGTTTCCCAGCAGAGCAAAACTTTACATGCCAAGGGATTTGCGGCTAGCAAGTCTAAACTCTCACACATGGCTATTTATGATTTCTTCTATTTTTGTAGTAAATTGAAGCCACCTGCAAACTTTATGGTGAAATGATACAGAAAGGAAAAATATAAATTAAATAATATTTCATTACTAAAACTTATTTTGTTGAGGCATAAATGCCTCAACAAAAAAGCAAATGGTCACCTAAACATACAAAATTAATGATTTAGCATGTAAAAATGATTTTTTACTTTCTGAAGAGAGAGAAAAAAGTTTAGTAAACTAAAATTTTTCAAATATTGAAATTTTCAAATTCCTTAAGTTTATTGCTTTGAAATTATTTATGTCAGCAAAAATAGACGTTCAAAAATAACACTTAACAGAAATAAATTTCTCTTGAATCAAATACTATATGTAACATTGCTGCAATTAAATTCTTAGTTGGAAAGCATAAATTTGATATCTTCATTTCAAACACTTTTAGCTTTGAAGACAGTCTTGTCAAAATTTATTTAATGATTTTTTTTTCTCTTCAGTACCATTTGTCATTTAGTATGTTCTTATATCTTATATAATTTTGTATATTTTTACATCTATAATTTTTTGCTGAAACAAAAATATTTTTTTTCTTTTTAAAAATTTTACATAGGTATTTTATAATCTAAAAATGATCATTGTTGATTTATAAAACAGTGTGTCTGCTCAGGAAACATTTCTAGCTTTCTTTTTTCTGACCAAGAGCATCACAAGATTTATACTGACTTCTTTAGCTTACAATCTCAGAATTTTATAGTATGGATATTTGTTGTAGTCTCTGAATTATTTACATTTGTTACAAAAAAGGTTTATGGTTAAATATTTTATTTTTAGGATGGATGTGTTTTTGTTGTCAGTGGTTGTAAAGCAGAAACAGCATATGAAAGAATCTGAAGAAAATAATCCATCTGACCTAATTTGATGGCCTTGTTATGAGAAAAAAATTACTTGTACAAATGGAAGAAAAGTATATGTATGAAATGTGTTAAAAATGAAGCCTTTAGTATCTTAACTTTCAAAATGAAATTTGTAATAGAATTATCCATTATATGATGTAGCTATCTTAAAATAACAATAATATATCTGAAAATTGAAATATTCTTGTTTCATAACATTACCATATAAATACTGTTACTATTAAATGGTCTCCTAAAATAAAGTATAATAAGTCTGTCTCAGTACTGTTATGTCAAAAAATGTAGTTTCTACATAATATTAAAGAATATCAAATTAAATATGAAAAATATAATGGAGCTATAAAATAATTAAAATGTGATCATGTATATTAGTTTGAAGAGGTCATATAATTTTGGGAACTTAATTTTCACTTAGCAAAATTTAAACCTAATTTACCTTCATTTTTAATAATAAATCATATGGAGCCTTAACATTTAAATATATCTTGTAGAGCCTGGCATAGAAATTTTTCTGTAGTCATTTGTTTTTAACCCCAAAAAATAATCTGTTCTTTCCCAAATAAATTGAATATTTGGTTTTCTGTTTGTACCTTATTTATTTTCAATAATAATTTGAACAATTTATTTTCTTTCTTTCGATTTGGATTTTCGATTTGAAATATGCATTAGATTCCAATCAGATTTAAACCTTGATAGTTATTAAAAAAATTATAAGTACTTTTTCTCAATGAAAATAATTAAAAATGCTTACTTTTTTATTTTTTGTAATGAAAAATGTCAGTTTGATTGATGTATTTGTATTATATATATATATATATATATATATATATATATATATATAATTATTTTTAAAGTGTGCAGTAACTTGTAAAAATTGACTAAGTAATAATAATAATGGAAATAAAAAATTCAATTAGTTTTGAGATGAAAATTATTTTTAATAGATATTAGTAAAATTATTGTTTTTTAAAATAATAATTGACAATTTTTCTTTATCATTGTTTTACATGATTGTGTTTATAATATAGTTTTAAGGTAGAATTTAATGAATTATAAGTTATATTTTGTATAGCATGGTACATTTTCTTTGTTTCTAAATATCTCTCTAGTAATGACTCTTCCTTTGGGTTTAAAATTAAAAAAAAAAAAAGTAAATAAATAAATAATTTTAATAAAATTGAAGAAAAATAAAACTGAAATCATTTTTTTTAACCTCAAATGCATACAAGTTCTAAGCCTAGAAATAACTGAAAACAATAAAAGAACAGCACATCTATGCAATATATAGTTTTGGTTATGAATTCGTTTCAAGTGAATCCTGTTACTTCTTAAAAAATAATTTATTAGCTTTTACATTATTTAGATACAAGAGGTCACAAAATGATAATGCACAAAAGCATGCACTTTAATTGAATTTAATTGCACACAGTTTCATTTACGCAGTCGACTATTTTAAAAGGTAATCAGAAATCGGGAAGTCAGTGAAAGTATCTTACTGAGTACAAAAAACACTAAATATAACAATGTTTGGCAGATAAAAATAAAATCTGTCTAGTATGCTTGTGCAAAATGCAAATTGGATAAATTTTGGCCACTGAAATTTTGCTAATACTTTGTAAATAATCCTTTGTAAAAATTTTACATGAATGCAGTTCTGAAAAAAATATGTATTCCTTTTTCAATAAAGTAAAATTTCTTTATAAAGAATCAAAATTGTTTTCTTAATTGTGATATCTTTGTTTTCTATTTTATATATTTATAATTTGTATTTATAATTTATTCTGTATTGATTTATGCAGTACTGGAATTTTAATCTTCATTTATTCAAAATATAACTGAGTCAGGCTTAATTTATTGCTCTGAAACAAAAATTAGCAAAATTTTAAACCTAATTTACCTTCATTTTTGATAATAAATCATATGGAGCCTTAACATTTAAATATATCTTGTAGAGCCTGGCATAGAAATTTTTCTGTAGTCATTTGTTTTTAACCCCCAAAAATAATCTGTTCTTTCCCAAATAAACTGAATATTTGGTTTTCTGTTTGTACCTTATTTATTTTCAATAATAATTTGAACAATTTATTTTCTTTCTTTCGATTTGGATTTTCTGCCTCTTAAAATCCAGAAAAACGGTGAAAAATGGTCTTTTATTTAGATGTAGTCAGTATATTAAAATATGCATTAGATTCCAATCAGATTTAAACCTTGATAGTTATTAAAAAATTATAAGTACTTTTTCTCAATGAAAATAATTAAAAATGCTTACTTTTTTATTTTTTGTAATGAAAAATGTCAGTTTGATTGATGTATTTGTATTATATATATATATATATATAATTATTTTTAAAGTGTTGCAGTAACTTGTAAAAATTGACTAAGTAATAATAATAATGGAAATAAAAATTCAATTAGTTTTGAGATGAAAATTATTTTTAATAGATATTAGTAAAATTATTGTTTTAAAATAATAATTGACAATTTTTCTTTATCATTGTTTTACATGATTGTGTTTATAATATAGTTTTAAGGTAGAATTTAATGAATTATAAGTTATATTTTAGTATAGCATGGTACATTTTCTTTGTTTCTAAAATATCTCTCTAGTAATGACTCTTCCTTTGGGTTTAAAATTTTAAAAAAAAGTAAATAAATAAATAATTTTAATAAAATTGAAGAGAAATAAAAACTGAAATCATTTTTTTAACCTCAAATGCATACAAGTTCTAAGCCTAGAAATAACTGAAAACAATAAAAGAACAGCACATCTATGCAATATATAGTTTTGGTTATGAATTCGTTTCAAGTGAATCCTGTTACTTCTTAAAAAATAATTTATTAGCTTTTACATTATTTAGATACAAGAGGTCACAAAATGATAATGCACAAAAGTATGCACTTTAATTGAATTTAATTGCACACAGTTTCATTTACGCAGTCGACTATTTTCTGCATCCCTTAAATAAAACTTCCATTAGAACATATGTATATAACTCATTTATTTTTAAAATGCTAGTTTTGATATAGATAATGATAAAAATTTCTTATCAAAATTGTGATATATGAAATTTAGAATACTGAATTGAGTTGTCTAAAGTACCATGGAATTTTTTGTTTGTTTGTTTTATATGTTTACCTGTGTGTGTTCATTTGTTTTAATTTTTAAGTTCCTTTTTTTTTTTTTTTTTTTTTTTTTTTTTTTTTTTTTTGTCAAACAGTTTTGCTTTGTAAATTTATTTGACAAGAATCTCAGATTAGTGAAATGTAAATAGTGTTAATGGAGAAGTTGTGGGTGTCCTTTTAAAGTTTTATCAAAATAAACATATCCTGATTATTTTTCAAATAGAAAAACTACAAAGCTGTAACTTCCTATTTAGCCAGGTTTAGTAATACTTTTCTTTTTTAAATAACATTCTAAATATTGAAAATGGTTTTCTTGTTTTTTAGTAAAATATTTTTCAAATATTTTGCTGTTGTCAAACTTTTGAGGAAAATTAAATATAACAAAGTTATTTATTTTAAAAGCTACATATTTTAACACTTTTAATGAATAATACTGCTTTTTTTATTTTTCTCAAAAAGTTTTAGCAATCTTCAACTTCATTAGTTAACAAGCAACACAATATATTGTTACATAAATGAGAGAAAATGAGATACAGTATGACGTTTAATTTATGCAGTCAGCTTAACTTAAGAAATAAATTTTTGGAATTTTTCTTCCTAACAGTTTTCTTACTGTTCCTCTTAGAACTCCTCATTAGGCTGATAACTGACAGAATAAATATACATTGCATTATGATACAAGTACAAATGCATCAATTATTCTTAAGTATGTATAATTTTATGGTAAATATAGTGTATTTATCTAATTTTAATAACATTTAGTGAGTCCAAAAAATGACACAAATTTAATATTTTCTTGCAGATTATTGATTTAAATATATTTACTGCTTATTCTTTAATTTATTGTTTGCAGAAGAAAATGTAAAATCTCAAAATCTTTTGTAATGATGTTATTAGTTTAAGATATAAAATTAATAATCTAAAGACTATGAATCATCATGTGTATTATTAATTTAATAGCAATTAGTGTTAATTTTTTAGAGATTAGATTGTTTGCTAAACATATAATTATTCAATGAACATTTATTTAAAAGAAAAAGTAATATACAAAATTAGTATTAGCGGCATTTCAAATTTTTAAATCAAATTTTTATTACTTAAAGTACGGCTGTAGGGTAAGAGAATTTTGAGTATTGATGCATTTAATGTTGAGTTGAAGTAAATATCTGATCTGATAAGTGGCTTATTATTATTTAGTAATTCAGGTGAATGTATAATGAATGGTACACAAAATATGAAATTGCAATTCTTTCTTTAATAGGCTATATTTTTTTCATAGTATAATACTGTTTGTAATTAATCAATAAAGTATTTCTTAGCAGTAATCTTATTTTTTTTATTAGCTGTGAATTTGAATTTCTAATGAGCAAATTTTTACCTTCTTTATACAGTCAAAAGTCGTTAATCCGGACTCATCGGGACTTCGGCGATTCCAGATTATCGATTTTTCCGGATTATAGGTCATCAGTTTAAATCTCGTAAGATGGCATGCGGAAAATTCTAAAATTAAAAATATGAAACCATAATTTATTAAATGAAATACAATTATGATCTAAAGGGTATCAAAATTTACAAAAAACTTAATATTTAATATTTTTTGTTTACTTTATTAAACATTTCTTTCAATGTAAGTTGTTTAAGTTGCTTCGTTTTATGTGATAATACTTTCTCTTTAATTCTATAAACAGACATAATCTCTTGCTCAGTTACAATGTTGAAGTCCTGTAACTGCTGTTTCAAGAATTCTGACTAACTGAAATTTTTTCGTTTTCACTAACCTCTCTGTCACATTCTTCAGGTCTGTATCCATTTTTTGCAGCAATTCCACTTTTTGTTTGATGGACATCGAAACATTATTTTAAAAACATTATTTCATATAATTTTATGTAAGTAATTTCGTTTTGTACGATCCTTTGGGAGCTCCAGAATCGGAAATTCTATTTGACATAATCGAAAGTTCAAGTTTACTTTTATAGTATTGCTCTTACAGTCTGCAAAAAATAATAAGCCGGATCCAATTCGAAAATTAAGGAACAACGCAATCATCAACATTAACTGAAATAGATAATTAGATAATTTTAGCTTATACCATCCGTTATACATAAAACGCGCACGCGAAAACGTATTCTGCGCTTGCGCAGATGCATATGCGCAGTCGTAAATGTCTTGCGCACATGCGTAAATGCCTATGCGCATGTGTCAACGCGGCGCATGCGCAGAAAGTTTTTAGCTTTGAGGTCCGGATTATGGGTGTCCGAATTAACGACTTTTGACTGTTATGTTTGAAAGTTTATTCTCTCTCCCAGCTTGTTTTATGAATAACATTTAGTACTTCTTAATTGATAACTAGCAAAATGTGTGAAGATACTAAATAATTTTTTTTTCAGCAATACAAATGCATGTTTAATCTGTGATATATATTCTTACATGATCAGTTTGATGGGGAGAAAATAAACATTAAATATACTTTCAAGTAACAGCATAAAAGTAATATGTTATGAATTAAATATTTGTAAAATCGGTAATAGCTTATCTAATTTGATGAATTTTCAAAGGCAAAATGTGATTACTGTCATTTTTCCATGTTAGAACATTTCTTAAAATTTTATAATTAGAGATTTGTACTCATCAAACATCATATGCAGAAATGATGTCAAATTACTTATATTTTATTCTG